CCTAAACCCTTAACCCTTACAAAGGCGGGTGTTTTGCACACCTTGCTGCGACGCCCCAACATGGCCTGCAAAGGCTGTCCAGTTTGTTGCGTGAAGGCTTTCCCCTAAACCCTAAACCCTAAACCCTAAACCCTAAACCCTAAACCCTAAACCCTAAACCCTAAACCCTAAACCCTAAACCCTAAACCCTAAACCCTAAACCCTAAACCCTAAAGGCACTTGCTTGGCTGCTCTTAGCAGGGTAGCTATAAACTTAATTTTTAGCCGCCTTCTTAAGAAACCCAATAAACCCAAAAAGGCTAAAGATGTAAAGTTACAGTAAAGTACCACAAAGCTTGGGGGTCGGGGCATTGGGTGGATGCATGAGGGGCCGACTCTGCTCCACAAGCAAAGCGAACTGAACACAACGTCTGAAAGATGGAAAGATGCAGCCCTTCACCTGGCCAGCCACTTCTCGACGCACTACCTCCGAAACCTTCAAGAAACGACAAACCCTAAACCCTAAACCCTAAACCCTAAACCCACTCCTGAAGTCCGCAAGCCGCACAGTCGACAATGAAGCCCAACTTGCAAAGCCAAGAAGAGAACAATTGAAGCTGCAAAACCAAGTCGAATAAACCAGAACCACCTCAAACCAAACCCAAGGACAGACAGCGCTGGAAAATTCTTAAAAGCAAGTTTTTTCTTTTCATGCACATGGAACCCCACATTTACACTTGGGCAAAACCCAAACCTGGGTTTTTTTTGGAACAAATGTTCGAGATTTCAGAACTTTCTCAACATCATTGCTCTTATGGTGGTCTTTAGCATCAAAAGTATCCAGACCGGTCTGATCTTTGAGAATGCTGAAAACTCGAAACAGCTTTCTCTCGGAAAGAGGATCTATGATCATGCTTATACAACTGATCTCCGAACTAAGTGACACGTTAACAAATAGGATCTTTTGCAGCCAATTTTACTGCCCATTGAAAGAAAGATCTCATTGTTTCAGGAAATCTCACATTACTAAAACAACTTCATGTGCTTTTGTCTTCGTGTTCACCTTGAATTAAACAACAAGAAAGGATTTTATGAGCAACAAAGCCCACTCAAAGCTTCACTTATTCGGAAAAGTCACTTCAGTGCCATTGATTTTTGCTCAAAAATTGTCAAAACTTGAAAATTGAACGATTCTTTCCAGCCAACCAAACTGTTGCAAGGTCTTCAAATTCTTGAAAGATGAAACAGAAAAAACATTCCACTTCCTTGTTGGCAAAGTTCAACAATTGCTGAGCATCTGGTCTCCAGGAGGTTCTTGAGCAAAAGTGCAGAGCGGTTCTCCAACACTCTCACTGCCTTGACACCGCACACTCAGCAACACACACCACACACACACAGACAGACACACAGACAAAAAAAAAAAAACGTGTCCAGCACAAACAGGGAATAATCTGAAGAAAAGAGTTTAAACGATAGAAAAAAACGAAAAACAGAAGAGTGGTTTCATTCTCTCTTCAAATTCGAAACATGAAACAAAAAATATAAAACAAGAATTTTTTCAAAAAATCAACGAGGAGAAAAAAAAGTGAATCTTGGCAACTAGTTCACCCTGCATTTTCAGAACAGATTCCAGATTTTACCAGTTCAAAAAACGTGGAAAAAATTGAAACAGCTTCTAACACGAAAAACATGTCTTACTACTCCGGTGTCTCGCTTGCTTCGCTCGCCAGCTGGATTGGCAGGGATGTCGATGGGTTTTCAAGATAGTGCACACAGTCTCTTTGCATCAAGCTTGCAGGCAGTCTGACTGCCTCATACAGAGCATACCTTCTCGGCCTTTTGGCTATGATCAAGTGTAGTATCTGTTCTTATCAGTGTGACAACTGATATGTCTCCAACTGGAGACTTGCTTGTCACATCAATTTTTGCTGGGGAAGTGTCTTCATGAGCTCGCTCAGAAGCCTTCACGTGTTGCGCTGGCATGGCACCAAGCCAGTGGCAGCACACCCTACTGGGGTAACTATGCATGTTCAGAGTCTGACTCATCTGCTGCCTGAACTTGAAGATTTCCACCTAGCAAAATGCTAAACTGCACCGAGTGTTACTTTCACAGCTATGCCAGCAGCTATGCTCTGTTACTTCACAGCTATGCTCTGGAAACAGGGTTTTGGGATGCATCATGGTCGCGGTCAGCCCAGCTGAAACGTGAAATGTGTCACAAAGACCGATGTGGGTTTTGTGACACACAGTCACACACTGACATTGAGTGGGGGCTGCGGGTTTCAGGGGCCCGTTTAAGGGGTCAGATTGGGTTTGGGGGGTCGCCGGGGCCGTTTCGGGGGTCAGATTGGGGTGAGAGGGTTATAACCGGGTCTCAAAGGGGTCAGATTGGGGTGAGGGGGGTTGTGACTGGGGGCCGGAGAGGGGTCAGATTGGGTCGGGGGGGGTTATAACCGAAGCTGAAAGGGGTCAGATCGGATGCACGCGGGCAAAGAGGGGCGAGGGGTCAGATTGGGGTAAGCTCCGGGTCCAGTCGCAATTCGATGTAGGCAAGGAACATGATGGCCGCGACGGAGCACGAAGTGGGAGTTTAGCAGGACGTGTGCTGATGAAAGCTGACGTGATGTCCCACGTATGTCAAGAAGCACGAGGAAGGATTGTAGACCGACAGCGCGAACTCCAACGGGAAGAGAGTAAGATGGGAAGAACGCAGGGGCGCACTGATGAGTTCTGCAAGTACAAGCACGCCTTCCACACTGCGACCGAAGTCCACTGTACAACGCCAGACACACGGCAAGCACAGACACGCCAGGCACACGGCTCAAGGGAAGACGCTGCGCGGCATCCGGCAGGCTGCACGCACGTGCACACCGGGATTGCTGCTGTACTGCACGCAGGCAAGCACACCTCAAGTTCCAAGGAGCCTACGCACGGCTGCACATCAGACGCCGCACTGTTCAGCGCGCGCACTGCTAGCAAACGCAGGCCGTGCGTGCCGCAAAAGCCATGCACATAGCCCACTTGACGCGTTGCACGGGCAGAGGACGCGGCGGAGAGGGAGCAGGCATCCAACAGGAGACACACACACACACGCAGACCGGAGACAAGGTTTCGCGTGATCTTGCTCTCCTCGCCGGCTTGCCTCTGCAGCCAGTGCTCGTCAGCCCCCGGCGTCTGGCTGCGTCATAGGACAAGCAGGGTCATGGGAGAGCAAAATGCCGGGGGGACCTCGTCCATGACGTCCTGAACGTTGAAGGCGTCCACGTCCACGCCCACGAGGCCGTCCCGGCGCAGGACCTAGGCAGCGAGAGACAGGTGAGGCAGCAGAGAGTTTATCACGCGGAAGCTTGCAGACGTGCGCCGCCTTGCGTGATGCAGCAGTGTCTTTTTCTTCACGCCTCCGCTCCTGGACGCATGTCAGCAGCAAGGCTCAGAGCATCTGCCTCGCGCTTGCGTTTGGGTCCAGGTTTGCCTCAAGTGTGTGCAGCAAAAAAAAACAAAAGCACCTTCCAAGACAAGCTGCCGCCTAGCTCTGCCGGCAAGGTACGCTTGGCTGGAAGTTCCTCGAAGCTGATGCTCGCGGGACACCTGCCAAGGACAACACGGGCAGCGAAGGAACGCCAGACCGACACCAATGCAGTGGAGCCAGAATCTAACAGGGCCGGTGCCTCGGCAATGTTAAGCTAGCGCCGAAGGCAGCATGCTCGCAGCCGGCATGCAGACTGTAACCGCGGCAGGAGCAAAGATCTGGAACTCCGCGGCCGGTCTTACGCCACACGTAGACGATATCGTGGAAGTGGCGATTGAACGCCGCCAGGCTCAGCGACGGCCCATTGACGGACTTGACGAGGATGCCGGCCGCCAGCAAGAGGTCCTCCACCTCTGAAGGATCGGCCTGCAGTAGCTGGAGACCTCGCTGTGCCGCCAGAGGATCGAGCACCGGCGAGGGAGTGCCTTCGATGCTGCGAGGCATGGCCAGGATATAGCCTTCTCCGTGACGCTCGCAAGGCGTGTGCATCACAAGGGCTGGGTTGGCTTTGTGGGCGAGGGCAAACGTGAGACCCGTGCTACGGCTACGAGCAGCACGTGCCAGCACATCCCCATGGCAATGCGATGGATCAAGCTTGGGAGGCAGCGTGCGGAGAGCGTGCCGCTGCTCCCAGCCATAGTAAGCACACCACTTGTTGTAGAGGTTGGCCATGGTCTGCAAAGCCTCCGCAATGTGGCCCTTGCCTCCCAATGCCTCCAGCTGCCGCTGCCACGCCGCATGGACGGACTCGGTGGGTTCGTTCCCGGAGCCTGTCCCCGGCCAGATGCCATCGACTCCGACCCACAAAGAAGAAAAGGTGGGTTTGCCGCCGGCCGCACTATCCAGGAGCTCGGGCACCTCCATCGTGTAGTGCTTCGACAGCCAATCTGCAAGCAAGAGACACAGAGACGCAGACACACGGGACTAACCCAGCAGCACAGGCGCACTGACACACAGCTAACGTATCAATCAGGGACGCTCTAACGATGAAGGCACGATGCAGCTAGACCCATGCAGCGTGCACGTACAAGCGACAACGGACCCCTCCCACGCGGACGTGCTGCAGACAGTCTTGCACGCACCGTGCATCGCACCTCGAACGTCTGGCTCGCCCTCGTTCGTGAGACGGACAAGAAGACCATCCCAGCAGGCTGCAAAGATCGGCAACGTCGGGGCCATGCGGATGCCGTTCAGAGCAGCCTCAATCCAGCCCACGTTCTTCTTGAGCGTGCGCTGGGCCTGTCGTACGGCACAGACAGTGGTATGTCTAACATGGATGGCATGTGATACATGATCGAGTAGAAGTAGCGGAGATCGCACCTTCCTCTCAACTACACGACACTTCTGCTCCAGGGTTTTCTTTTTCTGCTTGAAGTGGAACCAGTCGTCACATGGCCGGCTTTTGGGAAATACCTGCCCGTCCAGGAACACAAGCAGAACCAACACAGGGAGAGTAGGCTCCAGGAATGCTATGCAGGACATGGTTGAGACCCTAGACAACGTCGCAGTGTGCAGGAGCTAGAAGAAGTGTATCTCGAACGCAGGACAGGGCTTCAGGGGCGCAAGCCTCCTTCCGAGCAGCCTCGATGCCAGGCGCGAAGTCTTTGTGCAACTGCGTCACGAGCTGTGGCAGTGGAGGTCTATCTGGCTTAGCCTGGGCCCAGAGCTGACAGGCCAGGCGGAGGAGGCGGACGTGGTTCTCCGTGCCTTCGTCGCCTAGAACAGCTTGCAAGAAGGGCACCGCCCGTGTGGTATACGCGCGCCCCTGCACGCGGCTGCCGTTGCCGTGCGTGAGAGTGGTGTTGCGCAGCGTGTCCTTGACGAGGATGTTCAGGGTGGCCACGCCATGGCCTCGTTCGAGAACCTTCATCTTTGTGTCCACGCCTAGATGTACTTCCCGCTCCTCGGAGCTGTAGCGCACGAGCACGTCGCGCATGCCTCGGGAGCGGAACGGCACGAAGACATCCTTGGCAGAGACAATCTGTGGCTGCAAGAGGTAGAGCGCGGGGACGTCCTCGGGAAGCTCTTGTGGCCAGTCCTCCAGCGCACGCTGGGTAGGCTGGACCCTGCCGCGTGCATCGCCTTGAGGTAGAGCAGAACCGGCGCGAGTCTTGCTGCGCTTGCGCTCGTTGTGCATCCAGTCACTGAGCTGCGTGGTGCTGGGAAGTTCCTTCTCATCAAATCGTTGGCCCACCAGGTGCTGAAGCAGCGCGGTTGCTGAGCGCTTGCCAGTACCAGTGTTCTGCATGTAGACACGCGCCTCGGCCAGCTGGGCCTTCGTGAAGAGGGAGCGCGTGTTGTTTGGCGTCTCCACTTCTCCCGACGGAGTCTCATGGGAGTGCTCGCCTGTTGTAGTGATCACGAGCGTGCCCGCCGGATGTCCACCCAATCGCTGCTTGTGGTATGTGGCGTGCCAGCGCAAGGGACACCCCCGCCTATGAGTGCAGACAACGTCGTAAACCACTCGCTGCTGAGTATCCGTCGTCTTCTTGACTGTGTGCTTGAAATGCTGCCACTCCTCTCGGGCATGCACGGCCTCCAGCAGTTCCTTCGGGGAGAGCAGGACCTCTCCTAGGTCCACATGACGTAGAAAGCTGGGCCGCAGGTCCCGTCGGCGCTGCACTGGCGGCTGGGGCTGACTGCTGCGCTCAACGACCGGCGCAGCCTGGCAGTGGCAGGGACAGAAGTGTGCTTTAGTCTAGACACGGGGGGGGGGGGGAAAGGCGGGAAAGGCACACAACATGCACAGGCATGCAAGTGACGAAAGACACAGCCAGCAGTGCCCCGGAGACCTGCCTGTTCGGCCAGTACCGGAGCCTCCGAGCGCGTGCTCGCAGACGCTGTGGGGACCTGCCCAAGGACGTGGGTGAAAGGGACCATTAAGTATTCTTCCGCGGCATGTACGGCACGCAGCAGACACGGCGTATATGCACTTAGATGCGACTAGAAAGCCTTAACTTGACAGCATCCAAGCACACGCCCGCAGCGCTAACTCGGGCTGCGACCTATAGCACGCATGACCAATGCAAGAACAACAGGAAAGAACTCTGGCCTCAGGAGCGCTGACCGGAGCAGGAGCGGGAGCCGCAACATGCATGGCCGGGCTCGGCTGCGCGGGAACCGAGGCTGCACTGTGTGGCTTGCACGCACGCGGAGGTGGCTGGGACGGCGGCGGCTGACGCCCCGTAGCAGACACACCCGGGAGAAAGTGCTGGTGATCCACCTGGGCCCGTTGGCCGAACAAGGTCAGTGGCACGCGATGCGTGCGCAGCCATTTCCGGGAATCCAGGGTCAAGTGCTGGATATGGTACTTGCGAAGGTGCGTCTCCTCTCCTTCGCCTTGCAGATCGCCAATGCGCAGGTCACCAAGACGTCGCCAGATGCTGTGGATGCGCTGCCAAGCGAGCGCTTGCACATTGGGACTGCCCTTGTGTACGGCACGCTTCAAGGCCAAGTCCGACCGGAAGAGGTCTTGCAGACGGATGCTCGATCCCGGACAGCCGCGGATAATGCGCAGCAGTAGCGGCAACATGTCCATCGGATCCTCTTCCTGCAAACCTTGCTGAAAGCCGGCCCAGACGCGCTCGTGTGCGGCGGTGCTCACGACCGCTTGCCCGTAGATGTAACGACGATGCACAAAGTTGAGGGCTGCTACGAGACAGCCGTCCGACACATCCGCTGGGATGATGTCGGGTACGTGGCCTGCGAGTGCATGGGGCCATAGATGCTCCAGGAGGTGTGTCCCCAAGACAGCCGTGCCTAGCCAATAAAGAGCCTTGGGCATGGCCTCCCGCAGGCTAACTTGCACAGACTCCTGCGAAGCAGCGAGACACACAAGCGCGCACGGAGGAACAAGTGAAACCGTAAAGTGCTCCTTCCACTCTCCTAGGAGGAAACAAACATAGAAAAAAAACAACAACAGAAAGGGCATGCACCAGAAAGCCGGATCCTTGCGAGCGAACAACTTACCGATCTCCTCGATCTCATGTATGACCTCCTGCTGTTCGGGGGTACAGCGGCACTCCGGAGGTCCCACACCGGTGATCCGCGGGCCCAGTCGGCGCAGCACTGCGGTGAAGAGGCTCTCAATAATGGGCACGGTCACATCGTCCAGGAAGCCCTGATGTGTGGCTGCGGCAGATCCAAGGCGAGCAGCAAAACCGAAGAGGCAGCGCTGGACGAGGCCAATAGGTTTGGTGGCTGCGACCTGGGCCCACCATGTAGCTAGGAAGAGTTCCTGCTGCAGGAATATCAGATGAATGTTCGTGGGGTCGATGTTGAGCCCCGGCTCTTCCTGCACGGGCCCTTTCGGATGGGGCGGCGTGGCCTTGGCTTTGGCCGCGTCGCGGCGGTCATGCATGGTCCCAAAGGAAAACCCTCCGCCATGGGCTGCCGTTAGAAACATTTGGACGTCGATGTACTTGCTGACATCTGTAGTGCCTCCAGTAGCAAAGGCTGGACACAGGCAGCCGCCTGCCTCGTCGGAGTACACGGCGAGGTAGCCGTCGTTGGCGCGAAGCTTGTTCCGGGCTGCAGCACTGGTACTACCTTGCTGCAAATGGAACTCGTCCGCTGCCGTGCCCACCGCCAAGGCGGAGTTAGCTCGCAAGGCACGCTCCACTGCGTCCACCACCGGCGCCAGGGCGGGAGATTTACCCTCGGCCACATTGGCTGTGCCCACGAGCCAGCGCCGACTCCGAGTCTTGTACCGCCGCGTGAGTTGCACGAAAGCCTCCTTGTTCAGCAAGCAGTGGAAGAATGAATGAAAGAGGTCCAGCCACACTGTGGCTGGGATAGCCGTGGCGGCCGCAGTCGCTTCCATCAGCACAATGAGCGGATAGAGGCCCGTGTCGCCCACGTACGGTACAACCTGCAAGCTGGGGCAATGCATGTGTTAGTTGCTCGCAGCCGGTTCTACTGATCCACAGACTTGTGTAACGACACGCCGACTGCGTAAGGAAAGACATGACGCGCAGACAGTCGAAGCACGTAGCTGCTGGCTAGAGGCACGAGATGACACTAGCGCATACCCAGACCCCTGGGCGGGTCCAAAAAGTAGATCCCGAATGCTCCCGGCTCTACTTTGGCTTGGCGGCTCTACTTTGAGCCAAAGCACGGGGCGGATCTAGAATTCGATGTAGATAGCAAACGTGCTGCAGTGATGTTCTGCAGCGTAGGATCCATAGGCGTTCGGATCAAAAGGCAAAAAAAAGCAGTAAGTGTATTATTGAGGGTCGAACCCAGGCGTTTTGGCTCAAACGGCGGAAAAAACCGTATAATGTTGCGCAAAAAAAAGGTTTAGGGTTTAGGTTTCAAAACAACTCGTACAGGAGTACGTGGGCGCCCGAGGGCCATTTATTTGTTTAGGGTTTAGGGTTGAGGGTTTAGAGTTTAGGGTTTAGGGATGTTTAGGGATGTTTAGGGACGTTTATATAAATAGGGTTTAGGGTTTAGGTTTTAGGAAGCCCAGGAGCTTTGAAACTCGTATCTCAGCCCTTCTACTGATCGAGTTCTTGTACGATAGCAGTTTAATTTGTTTTGGCCTTCTGAGCCCCAGGTAGCTCAGATCTCAGAGATATCCAGAACCCTATGCCGTAAGCCTTGAAAACCCTAAACCCTAAGCGCTGTGAACCAGATTGCCCCAGTTTAGCACACTTTGAAGCACGTTCAGTGCCATTGCTTGGGTTGTTAGGGCTTCGACATATTCTCAAAGCCAGATATTTGCAGAAAGAACTCATTCGCAAGTCCCGTCGACTCCCTGCAACCCTAAACACCCTAAACCCTTACCCTAAACTAAGTGCTTCATCTTTCCGGTATGATTTATCCTTCGATCCCTTACTTAGCCCTCCTACACCCGAAACCCTAAACCCCAAACCCTAAACCCTATGCACCCTAAACCCTAAACCCTATGCACCCTAAACCCTAAACCCTAAACCCTAAAACAAAGTGGCCAGGTTTCTGCCGTGGCTGGAGTTTTGCTCTGCGGGTCCCAGGGGTGTTTCGGTGTTTTTCGTTTCGGGACAGCTAGGATGTGCATAGTGTACTGCGGGACTTTACGTCGGACAATCTTAAGTTTCATGGGGGCTTTCCCTTCCAGCTCTTGTGAGGGCGCTAGTACGTGGTAGGGGCCGCTTCCAGAATCAGGGCTTCAGGTTCCCAAGATCTTTCTTTATCTAAGATTGACTACAACGTAATATAGTGCCGCGCTCGCTCTGCGCAACATCGTCCAGGATCCAATATACCTGGGCTGCACAGCCCCCAATCCTCTTCTGGGTCGTCTGTAGAAGTCTGGCCAGGGCGTATGTTTGAAAGGTTCGGGAATTGGGGTCCGTCTTGCTCGTTTCGCAATGCCGCCAGCAAAGCGGCCTGCTACTGCTGCTTCGGCCGGTGATGGTTCTGACGCTGGGCGCAGAAGTTCTCGTGTGGGATTCAAAGATGTTGCGGCTTTGTCTGCTGCGAAAGCACCGCACGTCTGCAAACGGTTTTTTACAAACTACCCGACAGAGCGTGCTATCAAGTTCCTTGACAAAAAGAAGCTGCTTTCGGAGCCAGTTGGCTAGAATTCAGAAACAGTTCGCGAAACAATGTTTCAGGTCGATGTTTTTGTTGTTTGCCCACCAAATAAATGCCTGGGATCTGTAGATGACGATTCGATCAGGTTGTTCTGCGGCATCTTCACATCTACCAGAGCACTCAGTCCTACTTGGAACTTCCCTGACACAGTGATCCAGAAAGCACTCATGCGCCTCTTCAAAAGGGAGGACTATCGTAATCTAGGGTTCCAGGTACTTCTGGAATACTGCATACTGTGAAGGGCTGGTCTAGGCTGAGCAATATGTTATTGCTTAGATCCCTGTACAGGACAAGGATCAGCTCAAACAAGAAGTCAAGAAAGATGAAAGGGAGACCTGGGCCTGTACTAATGCGTTGCGCCTGAGTACCGCCTTCCGGCATTATTCGCAGTCAAGCCTTCGTGGAAGAAAGTGGGTCCCAGAGGCACGTCATTACAGTGTTTATCTTTTTTGTTTTTGCCTTCCTGCACGTCTCCTAGCTAATTTATACTTGAGAGCCTGTTAGGCACACCGGGGCAAGCAAATCCGTTCCGACGTTCCTCCGGGGAAGCGCAAACGGGGCAAGCAGCCGCCAGATGCCGAAACAAGGACAACGTGTGCAGAAGCAGCGTCTTGCAAGAAGGCCAGAGTAGCAGCAGCAGAGACACCGGCAGGAACAACATGCAAGGAGCCGGCCGCCACTGTAGGAACGCAGGATGTCCCAGTCATGCCCGTTAGCTCAGTGCAAGGGCAAAGCCAGCCCGCGGACCCGGCGCATGAGCAGAACACCAGTGACATCTCCAGCAGCTCATCACCCACTAGGTCCAGTGACAGCAGCAGCAGCAGCAGCGACAGCAGCAACACCACTAGCAGCCGCGGTAGTCGCAGCAAGAAACAAGACCAAAACCAGCAGGCCCCAAGCAAAGCGGCAGAAGCACAGCGTCTCAGCATTGAGAACCAATCGGCAGAGGACACGCAAGAGACACAACAGCAGCCAGGGTTGCAGTTGCCCACAGCAAACACGAGCGAGGCTGTGTCGGAACCCTGGAATGGATTATTCTGATCTGGTCTATTTTGGTCTCGAAACGGGCCTTTGTGCAATTTCATTTCAACTTGTCCAGCAAGATTTGTCAACAATCATTGTACTCCTTGTGTTCTGACCCCACCACCCATCTTCTGACGATTCCGAATCCCTATAAGCCCAACCCCTGAACCTGGAACCCTAGACCAAAACCCTCTACCAAAAACCCCAAACCCTAAGCTCTAAGCCTTAAACTTAAACCCAAGCCCAGGACGCAGCTGCTGCATTCTTGGCCAATGATTGGTTCCTCAACTCCTTCCAGGGCATGATGGCAGGCGATGATCCCACAGAAGATCCAATGAGTTCCTACCTCAGCTAGTGAAGTTGCCGATTGGTTGTATATACTAAAATATTGCGCTGCTTCCACTTCCACTAAGCAAACGTGCCACTCGGAACGCTTGTCGCACTGCTCGATCAAAGGCGAGTTATTGTAGTTACTTTCACATATAGTTCAGGTGCGCTGTAGTCTAGGAGCGTGCGGTACAGCAATGGGGCCTCAGCTTCTTCGTGTGGATTCTGCTGAAGATTGGCTTCGTGAACTCCTTGAACAACCTACGTCTCAAGTGCCATCTCACAGTGCCAATTCTGCTGATGATTCTGCTTTGTGGTTGCAAGAGCTCATCCGAGCAGGTAGCAGCGCCAATGTGGCTAGAATCTTGTGCCTTTTAGATCAGACCATTCTGATTTTTGTTGTGTCTCCCAATAAGGCCACGAAAGCTCTTCGAAGTAATTGTTGGACACTCAGGGCCCACGGTTGCAGATGCGCTCCATCCTGGTACAGATGTCTTGGTAAGGGCGGGTGGCAAACATCAACAGGTGGTCTCTCCCAACTATTGGAAGACGCTCGTCCCCAACCACCTTCTGCACCTTCCTGGCTTGGAGTCTAGGATCAAAGCCATCATGCGCCATTCCAGCATTCAGCTGGACATTCAGGCTTGCAACATACTGGCTAGTAAGGTTTTAGGCCATGCGCATTCTGTGATTAAAGGGCTCCCAGGCCACTGCCGATTTAAATGCGGACTCACTGTAGATCCAATCCATCGCTGGGAGAACCCCAGCTACGGGCACAAGCAAGAAGCGTCGTGGGCGGCCATGCGAATTGTGGGCCTGCTTGCGCACGGAGAGGCTGCTGCTTTCTTAGAAGCAGCGCTCGTTTCGAGTTGGGCGCATTGTTCGCAGTGCATGAATCGCGCTGGCGGCGGTGAGGCTGTGTCCCAACAACCGGGGCCCTTTTTTGTGTACGTGGTTGTGTCAGCTGCCGCTGAGGGCTGAGGCGCACTCTAGGCAGGCTCCTTTTCATATGGCAGAAACCTTTACTCGATCACCTCTTGCCCTGGGATGTGGCCATATATGCGATTGCAGTTTCGGTTCCGAGTGTTCCAAATAATTCACGCTTGCATGGCCCGACCTGTGCTGGCAACAAGTATCCCCTCTGATGCTCAGCGCAGGTTGCGTTGAGGGTTTAGGGCATTGCCGGGGTATGGGTGTTGGGGTTCTTGGGCTTACTGCGGGGGTTTTGGATGTAAGGTTTAGGGTTTAGGCTGCGCGGTTTCGGGCTTAAATTTCACTCCACCCAGGAAATTAATCTACCACCGCTATCAGGTTACCACCGCCTCGAGACGAGTACTGGTCCGGTAGCTGTCATTTAGGGGGTAGACTTGAAGAGTCCAATAGCAGTAGTACTAGCCGCTTGCTAGCTTTAGTGGCCTCTAAGACGGCTCCGGTGGGGGGATACCCCTTTTCCCAGTAATTCAGACCCTTAAAATGGCTTCCAAAACATCGGTTTTGGGCCTTCTTGAACTTCGAGTTTGGCTTCTAAGACCTTCCCGGTTTGGGAATCCCCAAACCGGGACCCTTCCCCAGACCATTCAGACTATTCAGACCCCTGCAATAGCTTCTAAAACGTCTTGGTTTGGGACTTCTGGCTGGGTCGCCAGGTACAATGAGGACTAGTGTTTTCTTTATGTCTTCTTCTCCGGTGGCTCTTAGAATATTTGCGACTACCGCCAAAACCTTTTGTGTTGCAAAATATGTAGACTTTGTGGTTGTGCCTCCTGCCCAGCAAGGTTTGTCTTTCCTGTCGCCGACTGCTCCCGTGCGACCGTCTGCAGTGGCCGCGAAGAAGCCCAGGACAGAGCACGACTTGCAGATGGCTTCTGCTCACGAAGACCCAACGAAGAAGCCTCCCACCAACGAGGGCCCGATGAAGAAGGCTCCTGTCGACGACCCGAAGCAGAAGACTCCGACCGACGAGGGCATGACAACAGAGGAACCGGAGAAGAAGTCTTCCGCTGACGAGGACGCGAAGCCCAAGAGGGACAAGCAGCAAGCGAAGGACAAGAAGAAGGAGAAGCAGCGCGAGCCAGAGAAGAAGAAGGAAAGGACCAAGGAGAAGGACAAGTTGACGGACGGCAAGAAGAACGAGCAAAAGAAGGACAAGGCAAACAACGAGGCAACGGAGCCAAAGCATGATGAGAAACCGAAGTTCCAGGACGACTCAGTGACGGACGTTTGGTGGAGCGACGAGATGGCCAGAGCAGTCATGAAATTCAAGCACAGCAAAGGGAAGGAGATGGTGGAGACTTCGCAGCGGTTGGAGGCTGTGGAGGGGCACGTTGAAGCGGTCTTCGACGGTGGCTTCCGATGGCGAGTGCCTCACTTGCTGCCCTCGGACTTGGAGAGCAGTGGCAAGTTCCCCAAGCTTGGGGGTTCCCATGAGCAGCCCAAGGCTAAAGGCAAGGCGAAGGCCAAGCCCTCGCAACCCAAGCCCGTTGCAGACTATATCCTGAAGAGCATTAGGGCAAAATACAGCAGCCAGGGTTCCAACAGCCCAATAATTAAGATCGAAGTGAATGAGGATCGGTGGGAGGCTTCAGGGCGTTGGCAGCAAAAATGCCAAATTGTGTTGAAGGGCCAGATTACTCCCACGTATGGTATGAACGTAGCTCGCTGCTTCTGCGACTGCTTCATGAACATGCGTTTAGTTCCTGACCGCATTGATTACAAGAAATGCCGCAACGCCTTGATGGAGTATGAGCACGACTGGCATTCCTCGCCTTTGTCGCGGAAGGTGGTGAATCAGATATGCTTGGAAGGGTTTCCGCCAGCCGTGCGCCTGGCTCAAATGCCTTATCACCAGCTTGTCTTTCTTTTTCTCCAATACATACTTTCTGTCGTACTTGCTTGAAAAACGTTTTGCTTCAAAAACCTACATGTACAAGCAATATCCGACTGCCTATAGGCCTACCAATGACGACGAGAAGGGGCTGAGCCGCGACAGCGAGAACGAGGAGCCCGAGGACGCGGGCGAAGAGGAGGAGGGCGCGGAGGACGAGGACGAGGACGAGGAGGAGAACGAAGAGCCAGACGAGGCAAACGAAGGTGCTATGGTCAGGGTTACCGTTTTCATTTTCTTATACGGTTTTACGAGAAAAACTATACAGGGACTATTAGGCAATACTCGGACACTCTTTCTGATCCTCCAAATCTAAACTTCTAAACCCTAAACCCCCGCTCCCTAAACCCTCAAACAACGATCAATGCAGGCTTCAGTCGGCTAGCGAGTTCTCTGCTGGACAACGAAGATGAGCAAGACTAGGCCGCAGATCCCAGATAATCTTTCCCTCAACCTGTGTAAGGGTGAACAGGTTGGTGACCAATCCGTATGAGGTATCTCATTATTTATTGGGGCCCCAAATATCCCCAGCAGCAACCATGACGTCCTCTGGGATCCACTTTGATGGCTCTTTCGCCAGCTGCTGCCAGCCTTTGTTTGGCCAGGGTTGCAATGGCAGCCGTTGATGTTATCTAAATTTAGTACTAGTTCGTTCGTGTTAGGCTCCAAACCTTCATCCGAAACCTCCTGACCTTAACCACCTCGACAGAAGGGCGCCTTTGCATCCTGTTGTTCTTTGCAGGGCTAGCAAACTTACTGGGGTAGCGCGCGGTACGGGATGCTTTCCTAAAGCTTGTAATTAAAGCCCACACACGCAACCCGAATCCAGCACTCGACACTCAGTGGGTTGGTTGACTTCTTGGCATATGTGTTGGGGATTTGGCTACGGTTCCAACCTTAACCTGCTTAGGTATGGTCCCTACACTTCGTACCACAACCCTTGTAATCGCCGCTCATTTGCGTGCCTATCTACAGAGCGCGCCACCCAGCTTTTGCATTGTCACGGCTAGGAACTGTGGCAACAAGTTCGACTTCTTCAAAAGTAGCCTTGTGCCTAGACACCGCCAGCTTGCCATTTCATATTTGGGGCATTGTTCAATAAGGTGTACTTGTGCCTAGCCGGTTCTAGATTGTGGGTTTCAGGGCTGGGGTCTGGGTGCAGTGCTACCATTTTCCAAAGCAGGAGCGTCGCCTCCTCTTCCTGGAGCCTACTGTTTAAATCAGCCTTCTAACTTCAAAATCTCAGGTCTTCGAACAAACCCTCCAGGTCCAAGGACGCTTGCCCCGGAAGCAACACCTGAAGCCCCCAACCCTGCTTGAGCTCGGGTAAGATCCGCTTGCCAGGAAGGTTGAACCTTAGGCCCCAAGAAACGCCTGTGAAGAACCGAAGTAAAGCGATGCCCCCGAAGAAGGTGACGCCTTTGTTATGCCATCTCCCCAACTACAATGTTCAGTGACTCTGCACACGGGCTCTGCGAAAGCGATTGCCTTGACACCGGCCAACAAGAAACCCACAATATTATCGTCTATTACCAAAGCCCTCTATACCGGTCTAGAAGCGCCGGCCATCTGCTGATTTGTTGGCCATGCTGCCAGAAGCGCAGCGAGGACATACCTTAGCTGCAGACGCCGCATAACATAGCTGTGCTGCCAGGCCGGGGATCTATGGGTTTTTATTCTAGTCGGGACCTGTGTAGTAGTCAAGGGTTCTAGACCAGAGGGGGTTAGCGCTGGGCACTGAAACCTTCATCCCTAACACCTAAGCCCTAAACCCTTAACCCCAAACACTAAGCCTTGAACCCTAAACCCTAAACCTTAAATACGTATAAGTTTAAGCAAATATGTGTTTACATATATATATATATGTGTGTGTACATTACATCATATATATATATATATATGAATATGCAATGTGTATATATATGTACTTTAGTACATATATATATATATATAAGAGCCCATATATTAGTATGTATGTATGAATGAATGCATGCATGCATGTCTGTATGAATGTATGTATGTATGTATGTATGTATGTATGTATGCGTGTATGTATTTTATGTATGTGTTTTATGTATGTATGTATGTATGTATGTATGTATGTATGTATGTATGTATGTATATGTGTGTGTATTTCACGCATGCATGTATGTATGTATGTATGTATGAATACGCATGTATGAATGTATGGAGGAAGAGTGTTTGTATATATGAGTATATATACATATATATATATATATAGTACATATATATACATATATACATATATACATATATACATATATACATATATATATATATGTATCTACACACACATGCATATATATATATATATGTATGCATACACACTTCCCTACACAGCACCCTGTGTAGTATTTATGTGTGGATAGATACATTATTTGCATACATAGACTTATACATATATATATATATCTATAAGTGTGTATATATATATAAGCAGGGAGGGGCTCTACTTTACTGTCAGTTTCCGAGGATGGGGTTCTATTTTGCTATGGGTTCCAGAAAATTGGCTCTACTTCGCTATGGTTCCTAAGGTTTCAAATGGGGTTCTTCTGTATCGCTAGCTAAGTACTCAAGCGTAAAGTTCTTCTTGTTTCGCGAAAAACGACGATACCGCTATATATAACCATACTCTTCTCCACTTTTAAGTAAAGCATCACAAGAATGACTACCAAAAGTAGATCCCCCGAAGAGCCCCCGATGAGCCCCCGATGACGCCCCAGCTCTATGTTCATCTATGTAGTACCAGGACACATGAATGACTACCAAAAGTAGAGCCCGATGAGACCCCGATGAGCCCCCGATGAGCCCTGTAGAGCCCCAAATAGCCCTTAAAATTCCTATCCCGCAAGGCCCCGCAAGGTCTCACAGGGTCCAGCAGGGTCCCGCAAGGAACAATGTATCATGCTTTTGCAGATTCACAGACTTTATTGTAGATGCCTTTAAACCAAAATGATCTCGCTTACCGCACAGGATCAAAGCAGAACTGCTGCCTGCGACGGAGTGCAGATATAGCAGTCCCTGGTTTTAGCTAGAGACCTAGCTTTTATCATGTCTGCCCTCGACACTGCACCGACCCAGCCGTGCTTGGAAAGCCAGGCTTCGGGAGCATCATTGTTGCTTGCAGAAACGCAAGTGTTGCCAGGATCGACTAGTGAGCTTTCAGCAGAAGCGCCCCTGGCCCCAAGTGCAAGCTCAGCAGCCGCAGCGAAGCATGCAGCTGACGCCAACCCACCTGCAGAAGACAAGCCGAAGCTCACCCCAGATGCCCTCAAGCTAGCTGTGGCCAACTTTGCACAGCACCACCAGCTAGAGCCCAGCACGGTTAGTGAGGAGATGCTTCACGCGTCCGAAGAAGGCGCAGTGCACTGGGCGACGCTCTCACTCGACAACAGCGCCCGCGGTCCGGGAGCCCAAGCCCTAGGACGTGCGCTGAAACATCGACCCGACCTCAAGGCTTCCTATGGCATCTTGACGGATGCTTTCAGGCAACTTCGGTCGAAACCCTAAACCCTATAAGCCCGAAACCCTAGACCCCAAACCCTAAAGCTTAAACCCTAACTTGAACCCTAAAGCTTAAACCCTAACTTAAACCCTAAACCCTAAAGCTTGAGCTCAATCCCAAAGCGTAGGGTGAAATGATTCTGGGGAGCAGTGCAGCCAAGCAACTATCTTAGGAAAATGGACGAAGTGCACGTTTAGTTTTGTTACGTAGGGCACCAAAGTTGTTGCACGTAACCATACATGTATGGTAGGTAGCAACACTTCCGAAGCTCCCGCGTTTGCCCAACACAGGAGTTCTGCTACACATGGAACTCGTGGCTGGAAGCAGACACGTTCTTCTGGGTTGAGAGCCTTGTGAAGACCAGCTGTTTGCAAGCTTGGAAGTCCGTTGTTACGGTACAGTCTACTGAGACAGTGCCAGGCTCCTGGTCCGAGCGGGTGGAGATTTGCGCGCCTACGCTGCCCAAAAGGGCTTGAGGCTACAAGATGTCTCTGAGTCTGAAGTGAGAAGCTCCACTGAAGGACTGCAGTATTGGGCTAGCTTGTACACAGAAACCCCGGAAGCCCGTCCCAAGCCCACATGTGATGGCACCAACGGTGGAGGCGTGCCTCCGCCGCGCAAGAGAGGGTCTTTGCCGCCAGCGCAGCCCAAGGAGGCAGACCAGCAGGCGGGGCCAGCGCCTGTTGAAGGCGAGGATCCTCCGACAAAGAAGTCACGGAAGGCAGGTGATGGCACCTCTGCCAAGAAGGAGCGAGAGGTCAAGGAGCTGTTAGCCCAAGAGCAGGCTAGTGACAACAGTATGACGGTGATAGCCGCTGGCATGACTCAGGATCCCTCTTGGTGGTCTTGGGCCAAAGATGTGGTCGCTACCTACCGTGTTCATCGCACCAACGTTGTCACGCTGTACGCGGACAACGTCTTCTTTCAAAAGATGAAAGTCGCGGCGCTCTCACCCAAGGAGTTGGCCAAGGTCAAGAAGGACTTCAGGGATGATTACGTGGCCAAGCTTTGCGAGTTTGTCACAAAGTTAGGGCCCTGCATTCAGAAAATGGCCGAGACAAGCTTCCAAGTAGAGAACATGGCCAAGGCTAAGAGGGCAGCGTCTGAGGAAGTGCAGAGTCAGAAGAACTCCAAGCCCAAGCCCAAAAGAAAAGCGGCGCCCAAGCGCAGATCGTCCTCTTCTAGTCTCACGGCCGCCGCTTGAAGCGTGGCCTGGGCATCGACGGCAGCACTTTTGCCGGGGCTTCAATGTGCAGAAGCGTGCGTTCCAGTGGGAGGGCCTGTGTAGCACTACTTGAGTTAGGGTTTAGGGTTGTGCCCAATTATGTAAGGTCTAGGCCAGGCTTGACAGTTTAGGGTTTGGGTTTAGGTTGGGATAGGCGGTTTAGGGTTTAGGGTTTAGGCAGGGTTTAGGGTTTAGGGCTTAGGGTTTAGGGTTTAGGGTCTAGGGTCTAGGGTTTAGGTTATAATGTTTTTCATAGTTTAGGCGTAGACTTGTGTTGTCCTGTGAGCTAGCGCTTGCTGCACTGGGGTGGTTGGTATCAGCAATTGCCTGATACGTTGATCGAGCCTAGCCGGGGCTTTGCTGGGAAACAGACTATGCCTGCTGCAACTCATGGGACGTCACGTGTCAATGAAGCGTCTAAACTCTTCAGTTCGCCCTGCGTGTGGCCTGTCCATCCGTAGAGTATTCAAAGCTGGAACCCCCCAAACCCAGGTCCCCGAAATAAGCTGAAAGCCCAAACATCTCTTGTCACTGGCCCCTATATTTCATCGTACTACTTCTAGTATACTGCTCTTACAATCAGTCGTCGTGCCACCCGGGTTAACAAAACGATTGTGAGAGCCATGAGTTTGAAGCGGGCCCGTTTCGAAGAGCGCGCTAGTGTCAGTGTGGACGCCTTGTCTTCCAGGGAAACCTTTGAAGAGTCAGAGCCTGTTCGGGAGGCTGCCAAGAAGTTTCGGGGGGTGTTGGTGGAAAGATACTTGGACGGCAGAGCAAGCGCATCAGACACCTGTCTTTTGGCGTACTACCACACAGAGGCTGGCGGACAAGGTGCCGAGGACTTGGCGCTGAAGCCATCGTCCGCCAGCCGGCACTCCGCAGAACACCTGAGGTGTGGTGTGGGGGCTTGAAGTTTCGTGTTTATAGAGGACCTCCTGCAGTAAAGGTTTAGGCCCCGGGGTTGAAGGCTGCATAGGGTTCTTTCTAAAGTATGATAGGGGTTTAGGTTTTGGTTTAGGTTTGGTTCAGGTGTAGTAATGGCCTGCAGTTGCTTCCCCTATCAGGTGCCACCTTGGCAAAGAGTTCCCTGAACCCGAAGTTGAGTTTATCGACGTTCCTATGCACCTGAAGAAAGCTATTGGAAGACAGGTGGTGAAGCATCCCGCACGAATCACCTCTGCAATGATACGCGATGAACTCCTGCGTTTGAAGGTTTTGGGGCCTGACGCTACGCCTGCTGCAGTGTCAAAGTTTTTGAAAGCAGATGATTCCCTGGGCGATTTGTACAAGCTACACCCTGTAACCTTGCAAGCCTTGTCTGAGGGCTACCAAACCCAAGCAATTGTCCCTTTATCCGTCTTCTTTGATGGTGTGGTGTGTTCAAAGAACGAAAGCTTTCTCGGCTTCTATGTCACCAATTTACGAACTGGCCAGCAACGGCTAGCGTGGCTTCTTCGAATCTTCTATACGCACGAAGCTGCAAGCTTTGTACTATACACCTATAAACCGAGAGCAACACGTACGAGTAAGAAAGTAATTTGTGTATGCGATGCTTGACTAAACCACGAAGTAGGGTTTCTATTTGGCCCCAAGCAATCTCTTTGACGTTGGTAAGGATCTTCCGAGTTGTGCCAATGTGGATGCCGGGGCTGGTGCAGCGTGTTTCCACTCTTAGAACACTTCAAACAGGATCTTTCTAGCAGTCGGGATGTCAAGCTTCCCATATTGGACATCAAAGCGGATTGGCCCGCGTTGGTAGAGTTGGCCGGCCTTCGAACATGGTCTCATAAAACACACCCGTGCCCATGCTGTTTGGTCAACCAGCGTGACTTAACTGATCTTGGGCAATTCACATTCAAGACTCACAAGCACGCTTCGTTTGACAAAGAATTGTACGATGCTGTGGTGGAAGCCAGCTTCAAGGACCGTCTTTACAGATGTTAGTGGCTCTCTGACACACAGCCCCTATATGCCTAACCCTAAACGACCCAAGCCTTCCTTGGAACGAGTATGAGGACCCTGAACCATTATAATGTCACACCGCTGCAGCAGTGGCATCAGTACTATGTCGGTGGCAGGAGGTCGAGATTTCCGATCCGGCCACGCAGCGTTCTATTTATAGGTTGCTGCTGTATAGGAAGAAAGGCCGTGGCCGATGTCTTCGAAAGGCTTTCAGGGATCTCCCGCAGGGCGCCAGACTTGAACCTTCCGCAGAGCTTCCAGATGTCTCCCTCTTCGAGACAAAGCCGACCCCTTTCCGTTGTTTGTTTTACATTGCTGGGCCTCATGCGCGGGTGCTCCACAAATCGCCGTTACTGGAGATTCCGGGTCTGTCACTAGATTCTTGGTGTATCGATATCCTCCATACTTGGCATTATGGCCCTATGTCGACCTACTTGGCCTACACGATGCGTCAATTGTTGGCAAGCCCAATCTTCCAGCCTGGCATTGCAGCGTTTCTAGACAAGGAGGAGTGTGAGAAAATGTGTCTCATGGCCTTGAAAGCTGAACTTTGGATGCATTGCAAGAGGCGCAGGGAAACAGACCCTGAGTGGAGCAAGAAGGGTTCCGAGGTGGGGGTCTTAAGGTCTTTTTGTAAAAGGTAGGGTTTAAGATTTAGGGCTTAAGGGCTCATTAGGGTGCAAGATTAGGGTTTCCAAGGCTGCAGTAGAGTGCCTTCGTTCAGCTATTGTTTGTGTCTTGCTTGGTCACAACAGGTGTGGAACCTGACACTTACGATGATCGCTTCAAAGCATTTGAGGGCTAAAGCTGCTGAGACTCATGGTTTGTTGCTGTTTGTCGTGGAGCTGCTACAGAAATACAAGCCCCAGCTAATATTCGATGGAAACACCCCTGAGCAAAACCTGAAGTTTCAGCTGCTGCTTGCTGCTGGTGATGCTGCTCTTGCATTTGACAAGATTCTTGCCGAGCATGAGCGCAGTGTCGAGGAGCAGTCACTCTTCCTACTCTTCAGCCGCTACAACGAATTTGCAAATTTGTGTGCCCGAGCGAAGGTGCCCCTCATTCCCAAGACACATCTCATGTTTCATTTGATACAGCGCGCTAGCGTCAAAGGCAACCCGAGGGTCTACTCAACATACAAAACAACGGGGCCGTGGCACAAGTGTGCAGATCAGTTCACCGTCGTAACTGGGCAATGTCTGTGTACCGGAAACTGGCGATGCTAGAGGTACTGCAAAGCAATTGCAAAGATGTCACTGCCGAGTAGGTGCGAAGCATAGTTTGTACAGTAATTCACCCGCTACTGTTGTGCTAGCAATGGCCTTGTCAAGCTCTGTGCCAGCAAGTTGCGACGAAGATCTCTTCGATGCCCGAGCTCATCTAGCTGCCATCCTCAATTTCGTGCAGTCATGGAAAGGAGTTCGTTCCCTACATCTGTTTGACTTTTTTGCAGGTGCAGGCATGGCCTCAACAGTGTTTTCTGGGCGAGGCTACAGCTGTGAAGCCTTCGATGTGGTTACCAATGGCCAGAATGACGTCACCAAAGAGATTGGATTTTACAGGGCACTGGGCATTATTCTTTCATTGGTGCCTGCTGCTTTGGTTCTGCTGGGACCCCCCTGTAGCCTTTGGGTGTTTATAAGTTCCTCAATTCATCGTAGAACGCCTACGAATGCTACGGGCGACATCACACGCAAGTGCGTGCGAGCTGCAAATTGTCTCGTCAGGAACGTCATCTTGCTTCTTTGCATAGCCCACTTTAGACTGTGCTATTTCATCCTCGAACAGCCGAGTAGCAGCCAAATGATACACTTTCCCTTTATGCGCAGCCTGTGTGAACAGCTTTCTATGCCACGCATTGTCACATGGATGAGATGCTTTGGACATCTCATCCCAAAAGCTTCCTATCTGCTCTCGAACATGGATGGCGCCAAAGCTTTGAGGACAATATGGTCCAAGAAGCGGTCAATGGTTCGAAGAGTTTCTGGACTGGCTGAAGTCTTTTACTGTTTTCTGATAAGGCTGGTAGGTTTTTTTTTGGGTTCTAGGTTGCGACCTCAAGCTCTAAAGCTTACTTTCTTGTAAGTTTATCAAGCAACAAGAAATGCAAGGCGCAATGCTTAGCAGCAACTTTTTTGTTTTCCAGGGATTCGGGTCAGTTCGGGCCGGCTTCTGGGCTTCGTAAGGTTTGGGGTACAAGGCTTCAGAATCCTTTTCAGTAAGGCTGCATTGCGGCGTACCTTGCGAAGCAAAACTGGGTTACATCTGGCGCCCTGGCTCGTTTACTGTCAGGTTTAGGGCCAAGAGGGAGGCGCTGAGGAAACAGATGCTGGTGTATCGCAGGACGAAGTCTGGCCGTGTCATCGGGGGTCCAGATCTGTCAAAAACTGCCGAATATACCCCCGCATTTTGTCATGCTGTTTGCAATGTTTGGGAGCCTTTGTTTCGAAGTTTTACAACGCCGACTACTTATCACGACAGTTTGCTCAGCCTGCTGCACAGCTGTGGCTTCGTGGTACCTCGCCGTTCCTGCTCAATAGATATGAGTTGCTATGACAAGGAGCAGGGCGAGGACTTTTGTCATGAGCATTCCGGAGGGCATCAGTGCGAGCATGAACGAGAGCATCAGAGACCGCCACTGCGGAGGATGGTGTTACTTTCGTCGCAAGATTTAGAAGAGCGTTTCTTCTTTCACCCTAAACCCTAAACCCTACACCCTAGACCCTAGACCTTAAACCCTAAACCCTGAACCCTAAACCCTAAACCCTACACCTTTTCCCCTAAACCCTAAACCCGAAACCCTAAACCCGAAACCCTAAACCCGAAACCCTAAACCCTAAAGCCTAAACCCTAAACCCTAAACCCTAAACCCTAAACCCTAAACACTACCCATGGTCTCCTTGTAGTTCCTTTTCTTTGGTTCAAACAAGTTTTATTGCACGGATCCTATAAGGTAACCCAGAAAGAAAAGGAACTACAATGGAGACACGTGAACAGTTGGTTTACCAGTAGGGGGCTCGGGCTCATTCCAAGACATTTAAGGAGAACAATTGAAGACTACGCTGATGACGTTTTGTCTGATGTAGAAGATGAAGGTTTCCAAGTGGGTCTTACATACGCTGAAGATTTGATTCGCTCGCTAGAATCTGCCATTTTGGCAGTGCAGGGCACAAGGCCCTAGTGCATGGCTGATGGTGTTACCGCAATAGCAGAAGATATATAGTGTGCTGTCCAATAAGAAGTTCTTATGCTAGAGCTCCTAAAGCCATGCCAAATGCACAGCAGTGTTTTTTGGCTTTTGTTGGCTTCGCTACACCCTCTGCTTGACTTATCCCGGGGCCCGTTTTAGGAAAGTACACTCTAAAGTCTTCGTACCCCAAAGAACACCCAAGAAATTTCGAAGCCTACTTGGGGATGCCGAGCGTCCGCAGCTGCAGCCGAAGAGCCCCAGCCAGCGACAGCGCAAAGGTAGGGGGAGGGACGGGCGTGCCTCTAAACCCTAAGTCCTAAACCCTAAACCCTACACCCTCAATCGCAAAAGCGAGACTTTGGATAAACGTCGCTGCGTAGTCTATGTAGCAACGCTACAAGTATTGTAGAACATTTGACTTCGCTGAATGTAGGTTCCTCGAATGTGTTTCTCTTGGGTTTTGATGGGCCTTCTACACGATGTGTACTTTCCAAGTACTGTAGTACGTGCTGTAGTACACCATGCGAACAACCCAATGTGACTGAGGATGATTGGATGTAAATATGCGTTTTAGATGTGGGGTTTATTAGGGGTTTGTATGCCTAGATTGCTGGAGGATTGGAGTAACGAACAACCCGAAGCCCGAAGCACAGAGATTGACGCCCGCAAACTTCCCCAAATGCCCGTAAACTCCGACCACCCTTGAAAACCCAAGCCCAAACGGTCGCTTTTGACTGAGCCCCACACCCTGCTACACCCTAAACCCATACAAAAGAACCCTACTGCAGGACCTTTTTTTTTGGGGGTTTTTTTCGAGTTTGGCTCAAGCGCACATGACTCGATGTGAATACGTGCTTCGGTCATGCGTGTGTGGCACGGGTACCATATCCTGCTCGGAATGCTACCCAAGCGGTCGTTGGCCTCAACCGCAACGTTTTGCAGAAAGTTTGGCTTTGCCCAACATGCAAGCGGTCGTTGGCCTTAACCGCAACGTTTTGCAGAAAATTTGGCTTTGCCCAACATGCCCACTTGTCGACAAAAATGTGGGGCGGATCTACTTTTCACATGGGGGTTCCAACTCGCTTCACCACTTGGGGGTTCTACTTTTTGGATCCGCCCGGGGGTCTGGGTATGCGCAGATCTGATGCACATCACTCTTCACTTACGTCCGGCCTCCAAGGCTGCAGAGGTGTTCACACGCCCTGCCGCTATCTCGGCCGCCGCTGCTTGATAGCGGTCCGGAGCATCGCATAGGTTAGTACACGCATCAGCGGTATCGTACAAAGGCAACTGGCCGAGGAACTGCCGGACATCGCCTCCGTCTGCATAGACAGCCAACAGTGCGGCGGCGTCCGCCTCCACTCGATCGTGCGCGGAGTCCTGCAGCATCCAGGCCTCTCAACGGAACACAGTGTTCGAGATGTCTACCGCATGAACGCCAGCACAGTCCGATGATTCCAGAGGCCTCCGGACGCGATGCAGGAGGTCGCGCGCTGGCGTCCTCCTCGGCGCCAGCATCATGCGCTGTACCCTGAGGACACAATCGCTGCAAGAGTAAGCAAACACGGGTGAGGTGCCGCCATTCAACTCCCTCCAGGCCTGTGGACTGGAAACGGAAGCGTGCGGCTCCGTAGGCTCCCAAGGCGGGCTGTTTTGGGAAGGAAGGGGGACTGCATCCTTGTCAGCTGAGCAGCATCACCAGCAGGTCACAGCACTGTAGCGATGTCCAAGGATTTCCAAGGCCTCCAGACTCGGGGCAGCCGTTGGCACGCTTGCGCGGACTTCGGCGCTTTCATCACGTCCTGTGCCCTAGGGACATAAGGGCAGCACGACAACAGGAGCTAGGCACCCCACTATAGTGAGCAGACGTTCGAGCACAGGCCACATGTCGCACCTCCGTCAGCCCTCGCTGCGAGACATCCAGCAAGGCGACTTCCTGTACAGGATTGTCGTCCTGCCTGTGAGGGTCGTGCTTCGCGCCTCGCGTCTGGCTCTTCAGAGGCTGACTCTACTGGAGTCGCCTTCGCCGGAGCCGCTACCTAACAGAACAAGCAAACAGAGTGTCCAAGCAGGCCGGGACTCTTGCAAATTCGATCTAGAGGTTGCGCGCCTGTGCGTCCAGCATCGCGTCGAGCACGTCCGGCACGTCAGCCGGAGACTGCTGAGGCTCATCCGCAGCTTCGTCGGAGACCTGACAGAAAAGCACGGCAGTCGAAATATGGGCGAAGCACAGCAAGGCGCCGCTGGCAGCGGCACACCTGTGGCGTCGGGGGCGATGGCTGCGCGGCCGGTATGTCGGCAACAGGTTCCACAGACTCATAGACAAGGAGGCGAGATGCCGTCTGCGCCACTGCGGGCTGCTTTTTGTACAAGTAGACGCCGTCGTTGTAGAGTCGCCACTGGTTGTTGTCAGTGTCCAGAGGCACTGCGCAGAGGTAGTGGCCGCTTCTTGGATCGTAGCCCCGGTGCACTAGAACCGCACGCAGGCGATAGGTACGCTTGTGCAAGATCAAGAAAGGCTCTGGAACCACTGGCCGCGAATCCATGTGGTCGAACTTGTTGCGAGTCTTCGACCAGCGCTCCCGCACCACACGAAGCAAGAGAACTTCACCCATCCCGAGCAACTGCCCCCTACGCCGGACGCGGCAGCGGCATTGTCCGCATGCACTGCACCGGCTTGCCTCTGCGACATCCTCAACGTCGCAGGTGCTCTGCAGCAAGTCGGTGACGGTGCTGGCGCTGTCGGAGGGATGTAGGTCCCAGTGGTACTGCGAGACAAATGTCTCCGTTGTGTCTTCATGCTGACAGTGCAAGCAGGAGACCACAGTTGTCCACATGCTTGTCAACTCCAGGGCATGCGCTGTGGCTGGCAAATCCAGCAGCTCCTCGTTATCAGCTAGGTCACCGCAGAGCTGCAACAGGAGCTCCGCAGCGTCGTCCTGACGCTCAGTGGAACGACCTCTGCTTCGCACGTATGGTTCTGCCAGCAGCCGTAGGTCTGCGGTAGCGCCTTGTTGCCGGGTCCCTAGTTCTGCC